GTTTTTAAAGGGCAGGTAGTTAGTTATAACATACATTCACTTAGATTAGACTTGTGGAAGAATTTTGTACACCTGAAAAAATCTTAAAATATAACAAAAAAGCTAACTTTGTAAATATGATATGGATATATATTTTATATGCATGTGCATGAGAAAAATTTTAAAACCAATATACAAGTTTTTAAGACACTTTAAAATTTGTGTAATATATATTTATCCCCACATGTTTTCCTGTGTCCTCTAATTTCTCTGATGCACTGTTATTTAAAATGGTGTAGTGAGTGTGTGTGCTTGTAATCACGTACAGGGTGGTAGGGAATAAGAAAGGTGTCAGTTTCTCAGTTGGTAGGGATGGAAATTGCCAAGCAGAAGGACTGATGGCAGCATAGCAGCAGAAAAGTATGGTGCATCTGGAGAACCATAAGTACTGAAGTGGTCAGGGTATGAAGACAAGTCAAGACAACATTCCCACGTTTTTTTTTTGATTCATACTAGAGTAGGGCATTTTTCCTGGTATTGGGGAGGATTCACTGAATTTCGGTAGTACTTCAGTATGCTGATTGAATCTGAGGCAGAAGATACAACTGCAATCATTCAATATAGCTCTCGCTATATGTCATATGCTAAGGAAACAAGCATATAGGAGATTCTTATTCTTCAAGGGAAGTGAGATTAGACAAATGGTCACTTAGTGAATCCGTTTTAAAGGGGTACTAAAATATGACATGGCAGTACATACATGTAATCCCAGAAGTTAGGAGGCAGAGACAAGAGGATTGCAAATTTGAGACAAGCCTGAGCCACATAATGAGATTGTAGCTTAAAAGGGGGAGAGGTGTGTCTAGAGAGATGACTCAACACTTAAGAGTACTTGCTGTTCTTGCAGAGGACCCAGCTTCAGTTCCTAGCACCCACATGGTGTCTCTAAACTATCCATAATTCCAGTTCTAGGGCATATGATGTCCTCTTCTTACCTTCACTGGTATCAGGCACACACATATACACATGCAGAAAAGACACCCACACACTTAAAATAAAAACAAATCTTTTTTTAAAAGGTGGTGAGGATTTTAGAGCACATACTGAAGCAGTGGAGTCTGCTTAGGATGAGTAATGAAAAACCATCATTATTTTGTTTTGTTTGTTTCATAAAATTGAGTGCGGAATAAAACTATAAACTAGTTCCCCCAACAAACAAACATGTCAAAGATTGGTGTATTTTGCTGAAAGTCTTATTTTTTAAACAAAATTGTTTCAAGTCAATGTGTAGAATCCTGTGAGATTCTTGCAGCATGGTTATTAAGAGCTGACTTTGGCCACTATATTCAAGAATTTCATCTGTTTTTCCTGCAAGCTTCTTAATCTACTTAGTATTCACAACAATCGCTTCTGTTGTGAATTTACTACAACATGTAAGACTCATGATCCTTATTCATTTTCTTTTTCAATTGTGAAGTAGCTTACCATATTGGTGTTTTTAATTTTGTGTGTTCACTTCCTGATATACTGTATTTTATACAAGATTTATAGCTTTACTTGGTGATAAATTAGTATTGGATTGCTAGGTGATGTACTTGATGACCTAGGAGAGTCAAAATGAACAGATGGAGGAGCTGGGTGTTAGTGCGTAACTAAGAGGATTGCTTGAGTTGAGACTGATAGTAAGTGATCAGTTCGCTAGAAAACACATTCATAGCTTTTGCATCCCTAGGAAATCCTAAAACCTTTTTACTGCTGGGGCTAAGATAATAGCTGCTCAGAAATGAGAACTCCCTCTTCTAGCACTAGCAAAAGACTAGTGCAGCATTTTTAATACTGATGGCAGTAACTCATTAATGGAGCATTATAACTTAGCAGACTGCAACAGTGATATATATCATCATATCTATGTGAGATCTACATCTGAGAATTGCATGAAACTTGTTGTAGCTAGGAATTTGGTGTACCTGTGAATACTAAGTCATAATGCAAAATGGCATGCCACTATAGAATGTGTGTAAGCTCGGGGTTATTTCAGGAAACACATGAGCAGAAGCAGAGATGGAAAAGTCGTGGGGACTGCCAAGTCTGTCATTAGGCCTGAAAGCATGGGCTCCTGCAGACAGGTGGCCAGAGAGTGGGTCTTTATATGCCAAACTAAATAGCTTGGGGACTTTGTCAAGCTTGCTCCGTTTTTCAGTGGTTCCTGTCTTTGTCCTTGAATTCCCCTCCCCGACCGAAAAACCAGTGAAAGATGTTTCGTTGTCCCTAGAAAATGTACACAACACTAAGATTTCCTTATAATTTAGAAACTTTCCTAAAACCTGCTCTGGATGCCAGGCTAAGAACCCTCACTTAAGACACTGAAGAGTCATTGAAAGGAATTTGGCCAAGAGTTACACCTCTGTCAGACTTATATCTTAGAAATCGACTCTAACTGTAGTTGGCAGATAAATTCAGGGGAGAGGGGCTGTGAATCAGGAAATGTGTTAGGGCGTGCAGTGATAATCTACCTAAGAGTAGATGAAAGCAGTAGTGATAAGTATAGAAGAGGAATCCAGTCAAGAGCCATCTGGTAGTAGAAGAGATAGGAATGTGACCGGTTAGACGTAAATGACATAGGAGAGTTGGGTGGCATGGACTTTGTGTGTAGATGACTCATCTGCTGAGGTATATAAGGGTTAATGTGCTTCTATCTTATTGATAATATCTGCCAGAGAGCTGGGAATAGGACACAGCCCTGGGCTTTCCTTATCTTTAGTATGCCTACAGAGTATCTTGGGAGCTTGTTAGAATGTCTGGTTCAAGAGGTCTGGGACAGAACCTGGGATTCTACATTGACAGAACCCCCAGTGATGCTGCCCACTCCCAGTCTATAGAGCATACTAATAACAGCAAGAGACTGGAGCTAAGGGGAAACATCTTTAGTGAAACCATAGACTCAGACTCAATAGCATCATAGGTGGTTATTAAAACTAAGGAAACTGACCAAGTCTCCTGGAAAGAATGCATAGAATAGGAGGAGATAAAATAAATTGAGGTGGAATGGCAGTTATTAAAGGGAACGTGGAAACTGAGGTTTATCTTAGTGTAGAGTTCACGGTTACCATGTATGAGGCTGTAGACTCCATCCCCAACACACACACACACACACACACACACGCACACACACACGCACACACACACACACACACACACACACACACACACACACACACACACACGGGTAAAAGACTGTAGTGGGATTTTGAGAAGGAATGGTCAGCTGGCTGTGGTAGCACATGCCTTTAATCACAACATTCAAGGATCAGAGGCAGGCGGATCTCTGTGAATTTGAGGTCAACCTAGTCTACAGAGGGAGTTTCGGGGGGGGGGAGAGAGAGAACCCTGTTTTGCATACATGGGTGATGGATTCATTGCTGAAGGTGAAATAACTATAATGTTATAGTAATTTATAGTCCTCCAAGGGGACTCAGTACATAAACAGATGTACAGTGTATCTATGATATTAAAATTTCATGGTTAGGAGGAGGTGATTAAGAAAAGCTGCTTGAGTGGGGGCCAGGAACAATCATGAGAACATGGTTGAGAAGCAGTGCTTTAGACAAGTAAAGATCTATGAGGTTAGATGAAACTTCAGAGAGTGAAAAGGGCTGGGCCAAGCATCTAGAGCGGTAGGGAAGGGTGTGTCATAAAGTCACAACAGCATTTACAGAGGCAGAACAGCACAAAATAAGATGTGAAAGTCAACATAAAATAAAATGTGAAGCAGCCAGCACCCAAAAATTCAGGGAGGCCCCAGGAAGCACTTATAGCTCAGTATTTAGAGGGCTGTGGTGTAAAGTGGACAGTGACAGAAGATGAGGTAGAAGAATAGGCTCGGACTTCATGTGGTCAGAATCACACAGTTGGACAGTATCAATTTTGCCAGGGTAAGTCACCCCTGGTGACACAAACCAGTAATCTCAGCTGTTTGGGAGGTTGAGGCAGGAAGTCTGTAAGTTCTAGGCCTGCCTGGGCTGTCATCACAGATGAGTGTGGCAGGTGAGGCCTGCCAGGCCACCGGCTTCTGTGTGAAATGACTCGCCTTTCTATTTCATTTGCCCATGAATCTTTTTGAGTCATTGGATTCTTTTTTTTTTTCTCAAGACACGGTTTCTCTGTATTGTTTTGGAGTCTGTCCTGGAACTCTCACTGTAGACCAGGCTGGCCTTGAACTCACAGAGATCCACCTGCCTCTGCCTCCCAAGTCCTGGGATTAAAGGCGTGCGTCACCACCGCCCAGCTGAGTCATTGATCCTTATGAAGTCAGTCCATTAGGAAGTCATTTTGTCCCATCCAGATTTTCTTAAAATGGAACTCAACCTATCCTTGTAAACAATGCTAGATGATTATTAGAACCTGCCACAGGACAGTGACTCAACTTCCTAGAGTTGTCTAGCAAACATTAGGATGGTCTCATTAGCTAGTCCTCATCCCTTCACCTCCCTAGGTGTCTTTCTCTGTTGGTTCTAAATTTCAGCTCATAGTGTCTTCCTTCATCTTGTTCTGACAATGCATTTAAGATAAGACCTACCTCTCCAGCACAGCTACATTTTTCTTCAGCCCTCAATTCTGTCTTCTTTCCTCTGACTGCATGACATTGCAGCCTTCCACCTGGCCACATAGAACATCTTTGCCTCTTCCCTTGTAGGGAAAAGAGATAATTGTCCAGCTAATTGAGCTGATGTTATTTCCTGCACGTTCCAACTGGAGGCAGTAAATGAATAGAAATAGAAGGCTTAGCTGTGTGTGGCATGGCAAGCTATACAGGGGTGTGCGGAGTGGGCAGAGTGGGACTTCTAGCTCGTATTTACTATCTAGTTAAGTTCAAACTGCAAGAGTTGGAATCCCAGTAGCCCCATCTTTTTACATATCAGATGGAGTGATTCAATGTGACTGTACTACATTTCCAATTCCCAGAAGAACTCTGTACATAGCAGAATTTGTTATCACCCACCCGTCCTCAGCCCCAGCCTTACCAACATGTAGATAACTCCATGAGAAGGAGACGTGGATCCCAAGGCAGCCATGTCATCTCACCGCCATGGCAGACATCTCATTTCACCCGTGGATGGCATGTCCTTGTCCCTTGCTGTTCGGTCCTTTCCCATGCTGGCACCTGCAGAACTAGCATATTACTAGGGAAATCAATGAGCAGCCTGGACTGTTATGTTGATACATGTCCAACTGATAAAAGACTAGTTTCTCCATAACAAAACTGTCACCTGGCCACCAGAACAGTACAACTGATACATGCTTTGTCCCTATAGCATCTCCCCTATCCTCCAGTGGATGAGGTATGTTCCTGTAGTCCCTATAGAACTGGGACAGACACTATATCATAGTGAATCCCAGTTCCACCAATCCTGAATGCAGCACCTAGGAATGCTTAGCTATCCTGATTCTTAGATCCATCAATTACTACCTCTCTCAGCCTCTATGTCTTCATATATTGCAGGTAGTAATCATACCCACTTCACAGGATTATAAGGATTAAATGTGATCATCACATTAAAGAACATATCAAAGATCATGGCATATAATAAGTGTTTGATAAAAGTCTTTTATCCCAAAGTCCCTTCATGCACTAGGGATAAATACTGGTTCCACTGCCAGAGGCCCCATAGACTGCCCAGGCCTCCTAACAGACATTCATGTTCGGTCCTATGCTGGTTCACCAGCTGTCAGATTGGGGTCTGTGAGCTTGGAGGGATATTCTCTCAGCCTAGATACATGGGGGAGGGCCTAGGCCCTGCCCCAAACAATGTGACAGACTTTGATGATCCCCCATAGAAAGCCTCACCTTCCCTGGAAAGAATATGGGGAGTGAGATGGAAGATTGGTGGGGTGCAGGGGAGGAAGGGAAGGAGAGGGAACTGGGATAGATATGTAAAATAAGACTTTATAATTTAAATTGGAAAAGAGAAAAAAATGTTCTAGCATATGGGTCTGTTACTACTTTTAGGTTATCCAGTAGGAGAACTCTGGTTAACCGTTATTATCTTTTTATTTTTCTCTAATAAAATGCTTAAAATGTATAAAATGTCTTTTATCATACTCATACTAGATTCTACTCAGGCATCTCAGACAACCTCTCAGACAAAATCCTTGGTCCAGTAGCTCTGTTTGTGCAGCTGAAATCAAGCGTGTTACACTTGCATTTTCCCTTTGTGTTTATACCATTTCTGGCTGAAATTAGACTATTATACTTCCCACATCAGAGTTATTAGGGTTTGGCTACCAGCAACTCTACCTCCTACTCCATGCCTACTATTACAGAGAATCCCCTTTTCAACCAAGCTCTCACTCTACTCCATCACAACTCATATCTATGAAGCAAATAAAGATATTACCTACCAGTATACTAAGGGACATCCTATAACTGACAACAGTGATGATTTAGAAGCCTTAATATTCAAGATTTGTCAGCAAAGGAGCTCTCTGAGTTTCATATCATGGCATTCTATAAAGCCAAAGTTTGGCCAGTATCTTGAAGCAGGTTCCATCAAATCTTCTATATCTTCACCTTGGCCCTGAGCTGCTTTCTGAAAAGAAAAAGTGGAGAGTCTTTCCATTGCTATAATCATCTCAGTGTAATTACTGTCCAGGAAATCCTTTCTATTGATATAGAACCTTATGATCAATTCATCAGTGTATGACCTTCAATTGAGATCAACAAAGGTAATGAATAGAAAATCCTTATATGGCACTCTCACCTCCCTCCAGCAAATGAGATGTTGAAGCCCTCTTAGAACAGGTGTAATTCCCTTGGCAACGTTTTTATAAATTCACTTAATATGATGCTAGACTCTCTCAGCTAGGTGTTAATGCAATGATCATAGTGGCACTTTTTCCAGGCTCAGTCCAAAGTGTCCCCGAATTACGTTTTTTGTATATGTGCCAGAATTTACATGAGCTGGGTGTTAACCTTTGTGAAATGAAGTTTCCTAGGTGAGTGAAAACATCAGCAGCTCCAAGATATCTCTGTATCTTTTATCACTCTAATATCCATCTTCTTAAGATAAAATTATTAGCCAGGTGTTGGTGGCGCATGCCTTTAATCCCAGCACTCAGAGGCAGGCGGATCTCTGAGTTAGAGGCCAGCCTGGTCTACAGCGTGAGTTCCAGGATAGCCTCCAAAGCAATACAGAGAAACCCTGTCTTGAAAAACCAAAAAAAAAGATAAAATTATTTAGCCCTCAAACACACACACACACACACACCCCTTCCAGTAACTTAAGGCCTCCATTTACTTCTATTCAAGCTTTGGTCTGTATGGTGGTTTGAATGGGAATGGCCCCCATAGGCTCATATGTTTGAATACTTGGTCCTCAGTTAGTAGAGTTATTTAGGAAGGACTGAATGGTGTGGCCTTATTGGGGCAGGCTTTGAGATTTCAAAAGCCCATGCCATTCCTAGGTTTTTGTTTCATGCCTGTGTATCAGATGTAAGCTCTCAGCTACTGCCTGCTTACTGCCATCCTCCCTGGCGTGATGGCCATAGACTAACCCTCTAGAACTGTGTGCCCACATTAAATGCTTTGTAAATTGGCTTGGTCATGGTGGCTTACCGTGGCAACTGAAAAGTAGCCAAGGCAACCTGCAATGTTGACTAATGTCATCAACTTGCAGGGGTAGGGATACTGTCCTATCCTAGAGGGACAAGGGTATTTTGATCTCTACTCTTGTACCAATTCTTTAAGAAGCTGGTCCCAACCAAGGTCTATTGCCCCGAGTAATAACCAGATCTCTTAGTGATCAGGACCACTTGGAAGAGGGATGTGCTTCCTTAAAGGGAAAGAGGCAGCTTGTTATTAGGAGCTCAAATCATCATATTCTGGAGCAACCAGAGTAGACTTGGAAACTATAGATTATCAGGAGGCAATGGAAATGGTTCCAGTCCAGTGTTGTAACCATTCACCTCTAGCAATAGCATAGACAACAGGCAGATGTTATAGTACACAAAGATTCAAGTCCATCATGGTACAACCAAAAAGGTTCATGTTCCTAGATGCACTATGCCCAATGGTTCCTCTTCCAACAGGCCCATATAGCCTATTCACACTCTGCATATAATCTGATGGAGTATCAATAAACTACCTGCCCATTAGTTCTAAAATGAAGGTTCCCAAATCAGACCTTCTAGGACTGTAGCATAAATGTATTCATTTGAGACCAGTTTCTCCATAGGTTCTTTTGAGGCTCAACACTATTTGAGAATTCTCGGCCCAGAGAATCTTTTATCTGCCTTGCAACTGGCCTAACCTCTTATGGGCCTCTGATCCTTTCAGTTGAGATAAAGCAGACTAAGGTAGCCTCCAGGTTCTTGGAACATTGTTAGAATGAACTTCATTAAAGATTTTTTCTCCCCCCCCACATCTATAACTTCTTTAAACTACTGATTGACCCCTCTTATGTTTGCTCAGAACATGCTAGGTGCTAATGTATTCTTCACCTAAGAATTCTTCCCCTTTGACCAGTGCCAAAGAACTGCTCTGCAGCTACAGCAACATGAGTCAAAAGGTACACCTAACACAACAATCAGACTCTAGAATTCATCCCTAACAACTCCAGCATACTTTTTTCATGCCTACTGCAAGCATCAACAACCCAGAGTTTGTAAGTTCCTAGACAACTCATGTGTGTAATCCCCAAGGATACATTCAGTTGTTTTTTTCACCAACAAGGCATACATTTTTTAAAAAGGGACTCTGAAGCCACACTGTCTAGGTTTAATCCCAGCCTTGTCACCTCCTATATTGACTTTGAATAGCTTAGACAGTCTTTCCTCACATATAAACGGTGATGATAATAGTACCTATCTCATGAAACAGTTGTATTATAAGGAATAATATGCATAGCATATAAAGAACAGCAGCACCTGATACATACTAAACACCATAAAGTGTATACTGTTAAGTTATAAATGAATTTTGCTAACTGGAGTTAATAGCTGGGTGATGCCAGTTAAATCTCCTTTCAGCACAGATCCATTCCCCCAAGCCCAAACTTTAAGAATTCTTTCCCAGAAATCTTTGAGATGAATTTCAGTCACCTACCTACTGCCCTCCTACATCAGAACAACTCCTTTAACTCTGTGCCCTTTCTCCTCCATGGTCATTCCTCTTATCTCTCACTATTCCATGGTGTAGTTCAGTTACTTTGTATTCTGCAATAAGCTCAATAACTAAAATCTGAGAGACAGCAGTTATTTTATTTTTCTTATTCATTTGTTTATTTTAATAGAATATTGAGAGAACAGTTGTATCATCAAAGACAGCAGATTTCTAGCAGGTTCACAGTTGGCCTACTGCCTGATTCACTGGCAGAGTTGTTGACCAAGAAATAGTTTGGTGGACCCAAGGGAACACTGTTCTGATAATCCTATTGTAATGTGATGTTCTTTGTCCCGGCTGGTCCTGTAGCCCTTGAGCCCCAAATAAACATACAGATGCTATATTAGTTATAAAGCTGTTGGCCAATGACTAGGCCTTCTTATTGGCTATTTCTGTCTTAATTACTAACCCATTTCTATTAATCTAAGTATTTCTACATGGCCTTATCTTACCGGAGAACGCCTGACACATCCTATCCTCCTGGTCCCCCATCATGACTCCGTCTGCCTATGTTTCCCAGGAATTCTTTTTGTCTCCTCGACCTGCCTATCTTCCTGCCTCATTGGCCAAACAGTGTTTTATTCATTAACCGATAAGAGAAACACATATACAGAAGAACAACCCCTATCATCCTATTATAGCTATGCTCACCCCAATCAACTTTAGCACTCTCAAGTGTGAAGTCTTGTATTCACTGTATTTAAGGCCCAAGTACCAGGACTGGGAGTGAATTATACTCTTGCTTGGGTGGTGTCCCTTCTTCCACCCCTACTTCCTGATCCTGGAACAGCTGGACTACTCTGTCCATTCCTATTGATGAAGGCAAAAAGATCACAGTGTTTTGCTCAGTGATTAGCTCAGAGGTCATGAAAGCAGGAACAAGGATAGCAGCAACAGATGTGAAAAACAGGAAGCGCTGGAGAGCAGTCTTGTAGGCATCACCAGTAGAACTCAGTGGTCAAGCCAGGCTTGTTGGCACATGCCTGCCAGCACAGTATGTGCGGAGAGAGGCAGGGAGATCACCCTAAGTGTGACACCAGCCTGGGATATGTGGCAAATAAATAACCCTTGGTGGTCATTGGCCATTGAGGGTTGAAAGAAGGGGGATGTCAAAAATACCCAGTTCCTTGCCTAAGTAGGCGGGAAATGTTTTCAGCTGAAACTGGAAACAGCTATCAAAAAGCACTTGGTGCCAAAACATGAGGACAAAGGTTCAGATCCTCAGAATCCATGTAAATACCAGGTGGGTGTGGCAGCCTACCTATAGTTCTAGTGCTCAGAAGGTAGAGATGGGATCCCCAGAGCAAGTTGACTAGCCTGAATCAGTGAGCTCTGGGTTCAATTAAGAAACCACACCTCAATGAGTAAGGTGGAGAACAATGAGGAAGACTTCATATGTCAACCTGGGACCTCCATACATGTTGTCCACACACATGCTTACACACATACTTATACATCAGAATAGACAGGTACTGTAATGGCTGATATTTTTTCCATCATTTTGATGGAAACTAGAATCATGTAATTACATTAATTGCTGTAGGAAGATTTATCTTAATTGTGAACAGATCATTCCCAGAGGATCTTGGACTGTATACACGGAGGACAGGAACTAGGAAGCAGCCTGTATATATTCTTCTGACGGGGTGTAAGGTAACTAACTGGCTGCTTCAAGCTCCTGATGCCTTGGCTGTCTTTCCCGCCATGATGAACTGTAACCTAGTTTAGTTGTAAGCTAAAATAAAGCCCCTTTCCTTTATGTTGCTTTAGTCAGAGTATTTTATCACAGCGTCAGGAAAAGAAACTAAGGTGGAAATTGGTACCGGGAGATGGTTAGTTGCTGGGATAAAATCTGGCTGCTTGGTTCTTGGGCCTTTGGAACTGTTTGTGGCTGGAATGTGGACACGTTTGGTGCTTTGGGCTTAGAAGGCCATTGAGTACCAGAAGTAGAATTTAGTGGGCTGTTCTGGTAGGAACTTGGAAGACAAGAATGGTAAGAGAAATGTGTACTGTGAAGGCCTGTTTCGTGAAGTTTCGGAGGGGAACAAAGACTATCTGTAACCCAGATGGAGTCCATTTGTGTGATATTTTGGCCAAGTATCTGGCTTCATTCTGCCTGTGTCCTGAAGGCTGTGGTGAATCTGAATTTAAAGATAATGTACTAATTAATTTGTTTGACAGGTTGGTGCTGAGAAGGCAGCAATAGTTATTAAATATAACTAGATCAGCACTACTGAAGAGAAACCTCCTGTACAATAGGAAAGGTATCCCAAGGGGACCCTAAGCTGAGGGAGACCCTTGCTCCTCAAAAGTGCCTGACTGCCTAGGAACTTATTTCCTCAGGGAAAGGAGTTAGGACAGAGAATGGTCAAGTGTGAATTGATTGCTGGGTATGGGGTTGACATCTGAACTCAGTATGTCCAAAATAAAA